AAATCCCAAAGGGTATCTTTTTCCAGGTCATTAAAGATTTTTCAAAAAGGAGACTATTTTTTCCTCAATACATGAGAAACATAAAACATTTTTGTTTTAATCAATTTCACAAAAGTCATTTCTGCACATACAAGTACAGGATGCATTATAAATTGATAGCTAAATGTTTTTTACATTTTATATATTTTGGAAACGTAAATGGGACTTTATCCTCTGAAGGAGCACAGTGGGTCAAGTGTTGGGCTGTTACAAAATGTCAGTGGTCTGAGCCCACCGGGCCTGCTCTGTAGGAGAAGGATGAGGCTCTCTGTTCCCACCAAGAGGTACAGCCTTGGACACATGCAGGGGCAGGTTTACTCTGCGGTGTAGGGTCACTATGAGGAAGGGATGGACTGGATGGCAGGGAGCTTTGTTGCGTTTTCGGTCTGATGGTAGTCAGGCACCATCTGGAGCTTCTGGTCCCCTGACAAGGGAGGCAGCAAAATAGTTCATAGAGACACTTAGACCTGCAGTCTACTTCCTTTTCTATTCCTACGTCTTTCCCCCAGCTGCTGCCAGTAGAGAGAAATAAACTGTTGTACCTTGGATGGCCACTCTGCCAATGCTGTATTTTTACAGTCTCACTCAGCTCTGCTTATATTCAGTGTTGGTACACTCCTCCAAAATCGATTCATCTTTAAGGCAGCAGACTGATAATATAAAGTCCCTAAATTTCTGGGCTTGGCCATCTGAAATGAGATCTTTTATCATCTGGCCTCTGGTTTTCCAGCGTGCATTTTCTTAGCATTGTTTCCAGAGGAAAGATTATCAGAAAAAGAAAGATGAATGGTAGTAGAATCAAAAGAACATTATACCGGAGCTTTTGGCAAGGAATATGTATGTCCACAAACACACACCATGCCCTTTCTGGGAAGGTATTTACTTGGCCTACAAGCTGGGTTAGTGCATCTCAAAATACCCCTCTCTCTGTTGGTCTCTCTCTCTCTCTCTCTCACACACACACACACACACACACACACACACCCCTCTCTCTCTTTCACACACACATACACACACACAACACACACACCCACGCACACCCCAAAAACCACGGTAACTCTCCCAAAGTAAACCCTATAATTAAATAAAGACTTTTCAAGTGGGCTGTCCTATATCACAACTTGACATGCTGCTTTAATTACCCCGCTTCAGCAAATGTACCCATATTGGGCTTCAAAATCTCTCAACAACTCACATCTAAACCAGACTGTGGTGTTACTAGCAAACTGATGCAAATAAACAGCCCTGTGCTCTGAAATACTCCGTCTGTCTCAATCATCGGTAGCGAGATTGCTTTCCTCCCGATGCACATTTTCAGCACACAGAACCACTATTCCTGACTCCGAAGGAAGGACCAGCCGAGACTGAAATACTGTTTCATCTCAGAGGTCATCTGATGGCAAGCATATCTAAAGAAGCTGAGGTTGAAATTTAAAATAGGAGACCATCTCTTTTGTGCGACTACTGAGATCATGTTGTGTGAGCCTCGCTTTTATCTTTCCCTAGCATAAACCTTCAGACACCCGTCTGTCTGTCTGCCTGAATTCATTCAGGTCATTTTTGCTTGGCCTCAGAGATCACAGAAGAAATGGTCTCTTAAGGGCCTCTTAAACCCTAGGATCCTCTCAACACATCTATGTTGTTTTTGTTTTTTTTTTAATAGTTTAAATGCATCTATAAAAGAGCTACAAAACTCCATGGGGGGTGGAGAGAGAGAAAATTTAATGGAACAAAAAGTTAATGGAATTTTCCCCTCTACTTTTAAGAACCCCCTGCTATAATTAAATATTAAACGTTACAATTTTAAATCTACAAAATGAGTATCGTATATACTCGAGTATTAGCTGACTCAAATATCAGCCGAGGCACCTACTTTTACCACAAAAGCTGCATTAAAAATGTGCTGGAAAAACTCGGCTTACACACGAGTATATATGGTACTTTCAACATTAGCTTAACTTTGGTTGTTTACTTGCCACCTTTCTGTAAGGGTTTCTTAGCGTCAACACTACAGACATTTTGAACTGGATCTTTCTTTGCTTGGGGTGGGGTGGGAATGTGGGCCTCTGCAATCCAGGATATTTAGCACCTTCCTGGGCCTCTACCCAGGAGTCCTGGTGGCGTAGGGATTACAAATCCTGGGGCTGCTAATCTCTAAGCTCAAGTCAGCAGTTCAAAAGCACCAGCTGCTCTGAGGAGGAAAGACAGAGCCTTCTAGTCTCCGAAATCTTGGAAACCCGCAGAGAGAGCTCTATGCTCTCATAGGGGCACTTTGGGTTGGAGCTGCCATTGACTCAATGCCAGTGAGTTTGGTTTGGTTTGGTTTGGACCTCTACCCACTGGATGCCAGTAATACATCCACTCCAATTATAACTACTGGGGGACAAAATGGTCCCAGGCCCGAGACTCACTGTTCTCCACATCTTCTCTGGCATGACCCCCACAAAAAAAGAGCAACCAACCAGGCCTAAATTTTTAAGGAACACACAGGTTTTAAGGAATTCAAACTCGATGTGTCTCGTAATGAATAAAGATCTGTAACACGTAAGGATTTATACTTAGCATTTCTGCTGTCTAAAGTAAGGCTTAGATTCACTTCAATGAAGACCTTTAAGAAGAGGACTTTGCTGCCACCGGGTGGGATCGTGGACAACGACTACCCTCCCTACCTTGGGGAGCTCCGTTCTTAGAAGAGGCTCTTAAGAAAGCCATCATGCTCCATTATCACCAAGCACTTAGCACTGATTGCAAAGGAAGGGGACTAGGCTTCTGCGTCTGTGACCATCCTCAACGGACCCACTGTACCTCTTTCCCTCCATCCTTCCCCAAGGACAGTTCCTTGGTGGGGAGGGATGTGAAAATAACATCAAAGGGCAGAGAGTCAAAGAATGAACAAAGGCTGATTAGCCCAGAGAAGAGAAAACAATGGCGGAAGGAAAGCTGTGTGAACTATTGGGCGGGTTGGTGGGTGGAAAAGTGAGTGGACTGTTCGCTGTCAATGAGAAGGTGACTGAAAGCAATGGGTCATTCAATAAACACGGGTCCTGCATGGTCCAGGCACCGAGGCGACAGGGAGGAGACCACGTCCCTGTTCGGCAGAGCACACACTCTCTCTGACTGCCTTGGAGTCAATTCCAGCCCAGGTGACCCTATGGGACACTGAACTGGCCCTGTGGGTGTCCCAGACTGTAAGCCCTGTCTTTCTTCCGCAGAGTGGCTGGTGGTTTCAAACTGCTGACCTTGTGATTAGCAGCCCAACTGGTTACCACTCCAGAGTACACAGTGCAGCTCAGTAGAAGGACTTGATGGCTTTTGTTTCCTTTTCTTCCCCTCCCTCCATTCTCCCTCTCTTGTTCCTTTATTCTTTTTCAACATGTTGGACTAACTGTCCAGTTGATTATCTAATGATTTTTTTGGTTCACGTTAAAGGTTAAGATTTAAATAACACAACAAGAAATGTACTTTCTCATACAGAGTTCTGAGTATGGACAAAAGGTATTTCACAAAATTACTAGGAGAGTCAGGGCAGAGAATCTGAATTCCTTTCTTTCACAGCTTCTGCAGAAGATTTTGCTAGTAGATTGGGCCAACTCCGAGGGCCATACAATATTCATCATTCTGATCCTACGAAGCCACAGTTAGTCCCTTACAGACACTGTAACTATCAGCCCGTCTTTACTGATAGATTTGGGTCCCCTATCTACAGTTAGAGGCCACAACAAAACCCAACAATGTGTCCTCATTTGGTAGCAGAAGGGGCGGGAAGGGAAGTTCAATTAGCCAAGCTTGTGCAAGAATGGCTCTCCAGGCGGGAGAATGAGGCAAAGAAAGGTCTTAATGGTTTCCACAGCTACGCCTGCAGTGAATGCTGGAGGACGGAGCTGCTTTTCAGCTGTGATGTCCCCTGTGACAGCACCAAGAGACACACACCAACATGGTGGCTGGCCCTCAAGGACAAATGCCCAGGCTCCCCTCCGGGCTGCTCTGTTAATAAGAATACCGCATTATCCAGCACTTACTAGGTCCCAGCATTACCTAGTTCCTCTCATTCCACTCTGAAGTAGGTAGAACATTCTGAGACTTATTTTACGTATGAGGAAATTGAAGTTCAGAGAGGTTCAAGAACAGCTAGTAACTGTAGAACTTGAATCTTTAACCCAGATTTCCTGACCTCACAGGCGGTCTTCTCTACCACTGTTAGCAAAACCCTGCGACACCCATCTATCTGTGGGCTGGCCCTGGGCATGCGGGAGCCGGCACTCCCTGAACAGCTCTGTTCCCCAAGCAGCTAAATGCTGACTTCTCTCTCCTTTCAACATACAAACCCTACAGATTTTTCTTTTTTTTTTTTTTCATTGCATATGAATGTGTGATGTGTGTGTATATATATATATATATATATATATATATATATTTAACATTTTATTAGGGGCTCATACAACTGTTATCCCAATCCATACACACATCAATTGTGTAAAGCGCATTTGTACATCGTTTCTCAAAACATTTTCTCTCCATTTAAACCCCCGACATTAGGTCCTCATTTTTCCCCTCCCTCCCCGCTCCCCCCTCCCGCATGAGCCCTTGATAGTTTATAAATGGGTATTTTGTACCCTACGGATTTCTATTTGTGATACTTTTATTCTACCGTTATGACTCTTAAGAAATGGATGGCTTATGAAGAACGTTAAGTCAGGCTGCCAAGAGTATTCTTGTCCTTCATCCAGATGCATTTTCCTTAAATCTTAGAAAAGCTCATATTCTTTAATAACCAACAATAACCAGGGGGGGAAATGCCACCAGGTTAGAAAACACCAATGCAAGATCACATTTAATTACAAAATTCTCTTTTGCCTCCATCTGGTGCAGAATCCAAAGGTACAAAGTGCAGAGTGGTAGCCCCCTTTGTGAGCAGCCTTTTACAATGAAAACATGTTAGAAATAAATGCAGCAACACTTACCAGAATTTCCCCCAACTGTCACAAACTTTATATACACCACATGTCTTCTAAAACAGCTACAGGACTGGTCCTGGAAAAAACAATACCACAGCAAAAGAAAAATGTATCATTAAACAGAAGTAATTTAACGGGCGTGGCGCTTCTCTTTTGGAAAGGGAAAGCTCTCCCCTCTGTTGTAAAGCACCCCATCAGTACACCGCACTTCTATTACCACAACTCTTCTTTGTTCTTCACAGGAAGATGGAATCAACTTTATCAATCGCCTCGGTGTTCACTTGCCAATAAAAGTCAAAATCCAAACAATGGCATACACTAGAACTGTGCTTACAAATAACTTATCTGAATTTTTAGTCCTTACAAATCAGTGGCTACAAGAGAATGATGTAGAAATATCTATAATTGCACTCATAACATTCACTTTCCAAACCAATTCCTCTTTTCGACTTCTTTTAATAACCGCTCCCTGTCCCCTCTGGGGACAGAGAGCAATTTCCCTAGCCTTTCTTTTCTAAGTTTCATTTCATTATCTGCACAATAGGGATTACAGTACCAAACCCATGCCTTTTTTGTTTTTAAACGTCCTACTGTGATTTGAGTGAAAATTTACGAGGCAATTGGTTTTCCATGCAACAATATAGACGGGGTTTGTCTCACAGCATTGGTGGCAGACGCCACAATGGGACAGCAGACCCTTCCTTCTTTTCTAGCCATTTCTGCCTCCTGAACCTTTATCTCTGGGCAAAGGTTGTCCTTTTGATGCCATGTTCTGAGAAGTACCTCCCACCCTGGTGCTAATGGTCACCCGGTGGGTCTGTCTACTTTTGGGCTGAAAGTTGAGTCCGGGGGCCAAGTTTAGTTCCAGGTCTAGGGAGTTCCACCAGTCTCTAGCAGACCAATAAGCCTGGCCTTTTTAATGACTTAAAGTTTCATTCTACATTTCTCTCCCATGCTACCCAGGACCTTCTGTTGTGATCCCTTTCTGAGCTGGGCACCATCAGTTCTTCTGGTCTCAGGGATGGGAAAGCTAAGGTTTTCAGGGTCCATTAGACCATTGCACTGGTTGTTTGATTTTCTTCACTGTTCTCCGTTCTGAATGGGGAGAGACCAATAGTTGCACCTAAATGGCTGTTCATAAACTTTTAAGTCACCTGTTACCACTCACCAAAGTAGAATGTAGAACATTGTCTCTGTGAGTGTATTATGTCAACTGACCTGACTGATGTCATCTGAGATCATGGTCCTAAACCCAGTGATCCATTTCTTCAGGGCTGTGGCTGAAGCATCTTACATACCTCTGCCCCCGCTTGCTGTATTATATACCTCAATGTATTTACCGCTCATAGAAATACATATGTAGAAAATATTATCTGCCATACTCTTTTTTTGTTTTGTTTTGTCTTA